TTCACCCATCCCTCTGAAATTCCTGCCTCTTTCTGCTTCATGTGATTTTTATTTGCCTGTAAATATGAAGAAACGTTCAGTTCATGCAGCGGCTGTGAGTCTGTGCCAGATGAAGTGTGTAACAGTGTGTGTACACATCACTTTTACACAGTAACACTGACTTTTATCCCATGTACTTCAGTCCGTGGCTTTTGTTAAAAACGATTTATGTTGAGTTAATTGTTAATAATAACAATATTATTAATAATTTATAGACCGTGTGGGAAAGACATTAAAACAGAGTGAGTTTAAAAAAAAAAAGAAGAAAGACGTAAAAATCAAAGCAAGATTCAAACCAGAATAACGTGAGACGTCAGACGGGAATAAGACACTACAGGCTGTTGAAATAAAAATGTCCGAGTCTGAGACTAGGATCACACTGGGACTACAGCTACACTGACAATACATCATCGTGACTGTAGTATCGCAATATAACGCGATACGTCAGACTCTTGCCAATACACAGCCCTGTGGAACGCTGAGTTGATCAGTTTGTGGGAAATGTTTTTTTAACGACTGGTTCTGAACGTCTGTCAGCTGAACATCCCTGTCCATAAACAAATGATGACGTGACGTTTAGTCAAACGGAAGATTTTTCTCTAATGCCTAATTGTGTGTTAGCTCCTCGTTTACCTAGCGCACCAAGTCTTTGTTCGAAGTTCATCCCACATGCAGCCAGGTGGAGCTCTGTGCCCCACACGAACACTACTGTGTCTAACTATCCAACATGGAGGATGTGGACCTCCGCTGGTACATAGGTGTGGCGTCTGGTCCTTGTCCATCCATTGGACTTCAGGGACACTTTTTTACGCCTTTGTTGAAGACGTACATCAATCAGGGATGTCCGACGTTGTCGCCTGAGATTAGCTCAACTGTGTAAGAATCGTTACTGTTATCTAAATGGTTTTGGGGAAAGACGCGTGTTTATCACAGTGAAAGTCACTAGATGGCAGCATTGCAGCTCATTTTAATGATCAGGGGATTGTATGATGGTGGGGGGGGTGGAGGGGGGGAGGATAAACACTCGGAGATTGGGTCAGACACACCACACTGACTGTGGTGTAAAACCTCGTCCAAACCCCGGGGTCGCGAGAGTCTAGGTTTTCAGACAGTTGGACGCGCCCGTCCCGCTACATCGGTATCGGCTGTTATCGTAGTCGGATGTTGAGTGTTTGGACAATACCAGCAAGAAGTGAATGTCGGACATCCCTAATATAAGCACATATATTTACTAATATATTTGTCTGTGTTTCGCAGGGACCTGAGGTTCAACAAAATTAAGGATATACAACCTGGGTCCTTCAGAAGATTGAAGAACCTCAACACACTGTGAGTCCTCCACACACACACACACACACACACACACACACACACAAACACACACACACACACACCGCTCTTTACGTTTTACTCCTGATATTTGTTCCTGAAGTGACGGACAGTTACAGAGAGATGACATCCTGTCGGCAGGAGACGTCAGGGTCTGAAGACGGAGACGAATGTTAATAAATGAAGCTCATGTCCTTCTAACATGCGATGATGATGTCACTTCCTCACAAAGTTCCCCATGTACTAAAGACACACACACACACACACACACACACTCACTCAGTTCTGTGGTTTCACACATGTAGGTCAGCTCGTAATCTGCGAGGAATTTCTTTTTCCACTTCCACCCACAGGACTTTTTTATCGTCTGTCCAGCCTGCCACGCTGTGTTGCTTCACTGGTAAAGCACTAATGTTTCAAGAAGTTTTTGTTTTGTTTTGTTTATCTTGAACGCATTTGTTTGCAAACCTTCTTGAAGTATTTAACAGCGTGTGTTGCGTCAGCTCGACATTGGCCGAGGTCACGTTCTAACAGTGCAGCCGTCAGGTGATGTAAAACAAACGCACCTTCTTCAGACAGTCTGCAGACGTTTGGCACGTGCCTTTTATTCACGCTGTGGTCTGAGGTGAAAACTCCAACGTGTAAAAATCAGAGTGTGTATGCGTTGAGTGCTAATATGTTCGGCTAGCTTGCACGTATTGTAGCGGTACGGTGTGTAGACATGGAGATTTGAGGTTCAAAGAAAAGAAAATTCCTACAAGGCAGAAGAAAAGCCCAGTTTTCCTAATAGCCCGGTGGACAGATGTTTGGACTGCTGCTGCACTCAGATCACACCTGACTCTCAGTGGCTTCACACTGCAGGAGGAAGACATCAACTACTCTGAAGTGTCTCCTGATCCCAGATCAATGTCCTCAGTCATTGATCAGTTCTTGATTTTCTCCAATATTCCTGGTGTTGGTTCATGTTCTTGTTCTTTTCTTTCTTCTCTAGTGATTCCAAATGTAGATCCCTCTGTTCCAGAGTTAGGAACTGATGTTCAGATGGAACAGAGTCTGAGACTAGGATCACACTGGGGGGGGCCGAGTCTGAGACTAGGATCACACTGGGGGGGGCCGAGTCTGAGACTAGGATCACACTGGGGCTGGCAGAGTCTGAGACTAGGATCACACTGGGGGGGGCCGAGTCTGAGACTAGGATCACACTGGGGGGGGCCGAGTCTGAGACTAGGATCACACTGGGGCTGGCAGAGTCTGAGACTAGGATCACACTGGGGGGGGGGCAGAGTCTGAGACTAGGATCACACTGGGGGGGGCCGAGTCTGAGACTAGGATCACACTGGGGGGGGCCGAGTCTGAGACTAGGATCACACTGGGGGGGGCAGAGTCTGAGACTAGGATCACACTGGGGGGGGGGCAGTATATCATCAGGACTAGAGTATCACAGTGTATCCTATTGTTTTCACTGTATCGTGATACGTATCGTAAGGACAGATACTGATCTGATTTCCAACCCGTGTCGAGGTTCTGGTCTGCGGGACTAGACCTACGAATGTGTTGTTACTAACACAGCCCTAAACTACAGCGACATGTCCAACATCACTGTTGATTGGACAGAGAATCTTGGTTGGTTTTTTTGGGGGGGGGGGTTTTGTGAAATTGTTGTAAACTATTTACCCCGGGGTATTTGTCTTGGTCTGCCCGTCTTCTTACTGCTACATCTCTTTTCTCCACAGACTTCTCAACAACAACCACATACGAAGCATCCCTAGGGGGGCTTTTGAAGACCTGGAAAACCTCAAATATCTGTAAGTCTCCCCCTAGTGTTGAGATTTGTTCTTCATGTTGTCGTTCAGTCAGTCGCTGTAGGAAACTAGAGGTGAGCGGTCCAGTGAGTGGACAGAGTGGACAGTGGACCTGGAGGACAGTGGTGTTTCTGTCCACTGCTGAGCCAGTGAGAACACTGGACAGCTGTGACTCACCCCCGTCCCCCGTCCCTCACCCCCGTCCCCCGTCTCTGCACTAACACGTCTGGGAGAGCTGCCCTGGAGGCAGGGTTGGGAGTGCAGTTGGATCTGAGGTTTCCTTGAAGCCTCCAGGTTTCTCCAGGGCCCCTCGGTGATCCCACAGACTTGAACTGTGATGACATCACCGCCTTCACCAGAATACACCTGGAATCAAAGGTGGAGGTGGAAAATATTTATTTGAACCTGGAGAACCACGGAGAATCAAACACCGAGCCAGAACTGGTGGATAAAAAACAACCTTTTTATATTTGTGTGTGTGCAGCCACCTCGAACTTCACCACCAAAAAAAAAAAAAAAAAAAACGCTTTTTTTTTTTTTCAGATTACATTTCAACATTCATTTCATTGAACATTTAATTTAAAATGTCAGTGTTCATTGGTTAATCCTTTGACATTTATGGAGCACATGAACCTCAGCTGGGCGTTCACTTGTGTGACCTAATAATAAAATATCATCCAATGGAAACCATTCACTGTTGCTGAATGTACTTAAAAAAGGCAACAGTTAGTAAAGAAATGGGATGCGACCCAGCAATTGTTGTTGGTCATATTCTTTCTATTCTTTGCCGAAGGAACAGAAGACAAAAAAAATTTGAAAGTTAGAGTCAAGATATGATTTTGGTTGTTTTAGCTACACTTTAACAACTGTCAGTCATCGAGGGAGGAGGGAGGAGACACGACGGAGGGAGGAGACACGACGGAGAAAATGAGTTTTTTTTCTTTCTTTCTTTCTCTGAAGAACCTGAGGACTCAAACAAACACATTCCACATTTACAGCCCACTCTTCATGCTGTAATTCAAACCAGTGGTCAGTCACTCACTTCAATGACAGAGGCCTCTGACTTTGGAGTCAAGATGAGTCCTAACCTCTGTGATTGGGNCCCCCGCCCCACGTTTTTATTGCTCAGCCTTGGGCCAGATTGTTTCCACCTTGTTACCTCTTCACTTCCCATGGATCCCAGTCCAGTCCACGTCCTGACCGTCCCAGTCCAGTCCACGTCCTGACCGTCCCAGTCCAGTCCACGTCCTGACCGTCCCAGTCCAGTCCACGTCCTGACCGTCCCAGTCCAGTGGGATTACTTGTCTTGGCATCACTGTTTAAAAGTGTTACCTTTAACCAGTAGAAATATATGAACACACGACATCTTTCTGTTAACATTTAACCTGGAACATTAACCACAGAAGTGTTTTGGTTTTAACGGCTGCCGCTGCTGTGTTTTTATTCAGTTAACCCTTAAATGGTTCCTGTCGGAGTGAAGCTTCTGACCACGTTCTCACACGTTTGATTTGGTTCGTCATTAACGGAGAAACTGCAACATTCCTTTTATTTACTGAATTATCACATAAATCCCAATAAACCAAATACACCTTTGGGTCCAGGTGTGGAACCGTTTCCATGGAAACTGAAGATGGAGAAGGAGAAGAGTTTATACGGCTTCAGTTTTTAAACTGAGCCGCTGAGTAAGACTAGGGTCCCTGCAGTACATATGCCAGGCCTGTATGTGGCACTGTGTCAACCGCACTTTGGCTAATGGCTATTCATTAAAAGACGGCTAGCTGTAGCGCACCAACGAGCTGAATTAGCTTCTCCAGCACGGCCTCCGCCATTGTTGTTGTTGTGTGGCGATGAGCGACAAGGTGACAGAGAGGTGGCGCCAACCATGTTGTTTCAGTCTGCTCTTTAAGTGCCGGGGTTTCAAACCTCTCCACCCTGTGACCGGCACACCGGGAGTACGGCGTTGTCTAAACGCAAGGCTGAATCGGTTCCCGGATCCGTAGCCTCATCGTCTCCGTGTAAACGGAGCCTCAGGCTATCCCCAAACATCGACTGAAAGACGGGACGGCCTACCTTTGAAGTCTGTTGGTTGACCTCAGAGGACATTTAACTTTGGTTTAAAGTCTAAGAGTAAGAAGACATTTGGAGACGTAACACAGTACGATTGTTGTTTTCTACGATAATGAGATTTTAATTAGTTTTGTTTTTCAAACTGGAGAATTTCATTGATATGATACAATAGGCTAGGCTAGGATATGATATGATAGGCTAGGCTAGGCTAGGCTAGGATATGACATGATATGATAGGCTAGGCTAGGCTAGGCTAGGATATATGATTGCAAACATTTTGAGAACTAAAAATATGCCTTATACCAGTTACAAAACACTCTGCAGCGCCACCTGTTGCAGGGAGGACCTTTGAAGAGACTCATTCAACCTGTGGTTCTGGTCCTCTTCAGAGACTCTGATACTGAGGCTCAACGTTTGGCTCAGTCCATTCATCGTAAACAGTCCATCCATCAAATCCCTGTGGTGAATGTGTTGACTAGGACTGTATGTTGTTACTGATGTGTCGCGTGTGGAAATAGTGTTTTTATTTTCCACCAAAAATAAAATGACAGTGAAAATGTCTGCCCCTGGAGTCGATGCCCATGTGGGTGAGCATCAAGTCTCATTATGACAAGTCCGACTTCAGATGATCCTGTGTGTGTGTGTGTGTGTGTGTGTCACTAATGTCACTGATTATTTCTCCTTTCAGCTATTTGTACAAGAATGAAATCCAGTCAATTGACAGACAAGCATTTAAGGGCCTTGTTTCTCTTGAGCAACTGTAAGTGACCAACGTCCTCCTCCTCCATTTTTTCCCCCTGCTGGCTCTTCTGCTCCCCCTCCCTCTGACTGTGTTTTTGTCTGTAAAATTCCTCTACCCCGCCCCCCCGCTCCCTCCCACCTCTCTTCCTGAGAGACTGTTGCCAACAGCTCCTGACGCCTGTCAACGTCTGCATGGTGACAACAATGTATGACATCATACAATATGCCACAAATCCAGTTGTTGCATACCCTTAGAGCTGCCCTGACACAGGGTCACTGTGGTCAGGTAGCCCCACCCCCCTCCGACC